CCACTTTCTAGCCTAATTTTGCTTGTTTTTGGCCAATTTCGAAAATCCCCACAAAAAAGCCATTTTTTTTGTCATTTGTTGGTTTGAGGATGTTTTGTTGATTTTGATCCATGGATTCAATATGTTGCAAGTGGATCTAGCATTCCCCACATTCTCCACCATGAAACCCGCCCCAAAATCGCTCAATTTTTTCTCTTTACCCAAATTTTCGTGTTCTTCCCGAGCCTCAAATCCCCACGGACGACCTGCCCGGACGATCCGGACGAAGTCCTGGACGATCCAGAGATTTCCCGGATGAACCGGACCCTCTCCCGAATCATCCGACTACACCTGTCGAAACTAAAAAAAGACAACTGCCACCACCACTCTCTTCTGCATATCAAGCCATTGTCCACCACCATTGCACCTTCCGCTACCACCAGTTTGACATTTGGTATTTGTCGATGTTGTTTATCAACGGTATCATCCAAAATTGATCTTAAAATTGGCTACTATCAAATTTGCATATAAAGGGTGATGAACGGAAAACGGCTTTTGAAACCAGATTTGGCTTATGAATGGTTAGTCATGCCTATGGCCTTATCCAAAGCACCTAGCACATTCATGCGAGTCATGCATTATGTCCTTCGAAAATACATTTGCATTTGTGTTGTGGTATACTTTGATGATATCCTTATCTTTAGCCAATCTCTAGAAGATCATGTCGAACATCTTCGAGAGGTCTAGTAAGTTCTATGAAACGAGCATCTTTATGTGAATATGGAAAAATGCACTTTTGGTGTTGATAAGCTTGTTTTCTTGGACTTTGTTGTGTCTTCTAAGTGTGTTCAAGTAGACGAGTCTATGATTGACGCTATTAAAACATTACGACACTAGTGGTAATGGCATAGGTGGCGTGTTGATGCAAGAGAAGCGACTCATTACTTATTTTAGTGAGGAACTTTCCGGCGCACAACTTAATTATCCCATCTATGACAAAGAGTTGTATGCTTTGGTAAGGGTATTGCGTGTTTGGGAGCATTATCTTCAGTCTCATGAATTTGTCCTACATACGGATCATGAAACGCTTAATTACCTTAAAGGTCAAACCAAGTTGAATAAACAACATGTCGGATGCTCTTTCCCTCAAGTACATGTTAGTTGCTCAACTTGAATTGAATGTTACTAGATTTGAGCACATTAAAGACTTGTATGCGCATGGTACTTCGTTTGTGATTCCTTGTGCCAATTGGCAAGCTAAAATTTCTTGGGAGCGGTGTTATCTCAAGGATGGCTATCTTATCAGACTAACAAACTTTGTATACCCGAGTCTTCTCTTCGTTTGTTGCTTTTGCAAGAAGCTCATGATGGAGGACTTGTGGGACACTTCGGCCGCAACAAGACCTTCACCATGCTCTCCAAGAACAACTTTTGGCCAAAGATGTTTCACGATGTCGCACGCTACACCAACAGGTGCATCAAATGTCGCAAAGCTAAGTCCCAAGCTCAATCTCATGGCTTACATATGCCACTTCCTATTCTACATCACCCATGTGAAGATATTTAGTATGGACTATGTGCTTGGTTTGGCTAGAACCCCAAATGGTAAAGATTCATTTTTTTGTGGACCGTTTCTCTAAGATAGCACATTTCATTCCTTGCAACAAGACAAACGATGCTTTAGATGTTGCAAATCTCTTTTGTAGGGAAATCTTGCGATTGCATGAAGTGCCCAAGACGATTGTGTCGGACCGCGATGTCAAGTTCCTAAGTTACTTTAAGACACCATGCGCCAAGATCGGAATCAAGCTACTTTTCTCATCAACATACCACCCACAAACCAACGGGCAAATGAAGGTCACCAATCGGACTCTCTCTACACTCCTCCCTGTCTTGATCAAGAAGAACATCAAGTAATGGGAAGAATGCTTGCCCATAGCCGAATACACCTACAATCGAGCATGACACTCGACAACTGGCAAGTCCCCTTCAAGGTCGTCTACGGCTTCAACCCGTTGTCACCGTTGGACATCCTTCCTCTACCACTAGAAGAGCGAACCAACATGGACATGAGTAGAAGAGCAAGTTACCTCAAGAAGGTGCATGAAGAGACATGCCGGACGATCGAGAACCAAGTGCACCACCTCGCTACCAAGCGCAACATCAACAAGCACCCCATGGTGTTCAACCCCGAGGACCTTGTGTGTGTACACCATGCAAAGAACGTTTCCCCAATGAGCGCAAGTCCAAGCTCCTACCTCGTGTTGATGGACCATTCGAGGTGCTAGCTCGCTACAATAACAATGCCTACAAGATTGATCTCCCGCGCGACAAGTACATCGTGAGCTACATCTTTAACGTCAAAGACCTATCTGCCTTCCATTGTGATGGAGTTAATGATCCGAGGTCGAGTCTTCCCGAGAGGGGGGAGATGATGCGGAGCATCCTACAGTCATCCCCATGGACGTACCCTCGTCTCCCAAGACACCAAGTGAACCAATGACTAGAGCTCGTGCAAGGGCCATCGAAATCGAGGTGAACTCGCACTTCTCTGAGCTTACACATTCTGCATGGGAGACATGGCTACTACCTCAAGAGGAGACGTTGTGTGTGATCATGTACTTCGAGGATGGCCATGGAGCCACTATGAACAACGGACACGACAGTGAGGACGCTAAGCACGAGAAGCAAGAGAAGGAGCTGACGGCCAGCTACAGCCACCGGATGACCGGTCCTTATCAGACGTTCGGCGCCCTGAGGATCAATCAGCCAGACGGCCCAGCCGACGAACCCTACAGCGGTCGGACGACCGGCAAGTACTGGACGTCTGACATCCTCCAGCAACTGAACGACGGCCCTCCTCCAAAACTCCGGTGCCACTAGTCTAGTACTAAAATAGCGGAAGAAGGAAGCCTTCTAGATGTCCGAGCCCCGGACATCCGATGTCCTCCTGACAACCGGATGCTCGTGAGCCACCGGATGACTGGTAACCTCCGGACGTTCAGAACTGCCTGTGTGCAGCCACTCTGGTTTGGACCCATTTATCCCCCTCTCTCCCCTAGACTATATATACCCCTTCACTTGGATGAAGTGGGGTTAGCAAAGTATATTGATATTATCTAGAGAGAGCTTTGCTCATCTTCCCCTCCTCTTGGAGACCAAGATCTCTTAGGAGAAGATCCCTAAGTGGATATCAAGACCTCCCTTGTGGAGAAGACTATTATCAAGACTTCATCTCCTTTGGATTTGGGAAGGACCTTACCAATGTGCTATTTTCTCTTGATTGTTCATCTCATACTTGTGGGTCTCATGTATGCTATTCTGGTGGATGTGTGATTTGGGTTTTATTTGAGTAATTCCTCTTGTTGTTCTTGTTGATTTCCCCCTTTACCCCTCGAAGTGGGAACATATCATCAATTGGGGTTCCACCCTACATCAAAAGCTCAATAAGGCAACCTCGGTTTCGATAGCTCTTGCACACGCTCTTGTCATCGGTCCACTTGGTGTTTGGGGTGATGATGGAATGACCATGGGGATGACCGAAGGATGCTTTGAATCAGGTGTGGTACAATGCGACATCGCAGAGGAGGCGGGGAGGTGGCGGCATGACGAGAGGCGGAGGTGCATCTGGCTACAAAGGGATCGATGAAGGAACGCTCATGGTGGTGGCACGCGAAGGAGGATCGAGATTCGGGGGAGAAGAGGAGGGATGATCCTGGCTAGAGAGGGCGAGCGGTTGGCGCACATCAAAGCCAGCCACATCGGCCCCCATCCCCACTTCCCAAGCACAGCCGCAACCGACACACGATGCCGAAAACGCTGGAAAGAAGCCACACATCATTTGGCAGGTGGGCCCCACAAAGAGTAAAAATCGTACACACAGTTACAACGTTAGCCCAGATGCATGAGGTAGCAGTAATTCGTGGGAGCTAAGTAACTTAAGAGTGACCTTTTCCGTAATAAAAGATCTATTGAAGTTTTTCTTTTTGGCAAAAACACTTCGCGAGCAACGGTTCGAAGCCCTTTCACCATTGCAAGCAGTCCCACACCACGCCAGTTCCCACGTTATCACGCAGACAACAGAAGACGACCGAGTGACTAACAATGAATCATTAGCGTGATTTTTGGACAATCTTTTTTTGTAGTTTGCAACTTTGTGACTATTTGAACATAACGCACAATCTTATGTACCTTGCACTTGCCTCATCTCTACCGTTGGCCATATAGCAAAGTCCATAATAAATCGAGCAACTCGGACTTTTGGCGCACGGGGGCAATGGAGCACATTACTTTAAACAACTCAAATAATGCTATATTTTTAACACGAGTATATATGGATGTTCTCTAGGTACTCCCTTTGTTTCGAAATAATTGAAGTTCCGGATTTGTCTTAAGTCAAACTTCAGTAAGCTTGACCAGTTCTATACAAAAATATATCAACATCTACAAATAAAAAATTTGCTTTATTAGATTCATTATAAAATGTATTTTCATATTATATGTAGTTGTATTTGATATGGTAGATCTTAGCAAAATTTTCTAGAGACTGAATCAAACTTTAAAATGTTTGACTTAGGACAATACTTTAATTTTTTTTGCGGGTAATTTTAATTATTTTGGAATGAAGGAAGCACATGTTAAATTTCGTTCAATAATAACGCTACACAAAAAAGCTGGTACCATAAATAAATCTGAATTTTTTGAACCATGAAAATTAGTACCTACGTAACATTTTCAAACTTGAAAAAGAAGGTGCTCGTAATACACCTGCTCCAAAGCGACTTCCGTACTCAGAAGCCTTTTCGAGCTATTTAAAAGGCAAGGCGAGACGCCAACGCCGAGGCCAGCAACACATCTTGGGCAGTCTTCATTCCTCTCCTCTCCAACTCGTCGCAGCCGCAAATCGCAAGGACAGCAGGAGCTAACCCGACGAGGCCACGCGACCACCACCCACCGGTCTAGCGCCTCCTCGTCGTCGCCGTTGCTTCCCGCCCGTTCCCTCGGTTCCGCCTGAAATCGCGATGGTGAGAAATTAAATTAACCTTTGCTGGTGGGCATGTCCATTTCCTCTAGCGCGTGTCGGTGAGTTGAGTTGCTGAGATCGGTGTGGTTGGTGCAGACGAAGAAGCAGCGCAGGGAGGCTGGCGCCAGGCGGCAGCAGCAGGCCCGCCAGCGGCTGCGGCCGCCGCCGCTGCTGCAAGCGCGCGACGAGCGCTCCGTCTCATGCACCACCTTCAACATCCTCGCGCCGATCTACAAGCGCATGGATTCTGAGGTGAGCTGGATCTTACCCTTTTCCCTCCCCTTGGAATCCACTTGTTTCATCTTGTGTTGGGAGGAGTTGCCGCCGGTATTTTGTTGGATCGGTGAAGTAACGTGTCCGTGGGCATTGGGCACAGAATGGCAGGGAGAGCCAGAACAGGGCCAACTGGTTTAGCAGGAATGAGAAAATCATCGACCGCCTCCTCGGCGATCGCTCCTCCATCATCTGCCTCCAGGTGAGGGGGATTGACCGATTATTCACTTCCATGGATGTTTGCGCAAGGATGTGATTGATAGGTTGTCTTGGTATTGTGTCAGGAGGTGTGGTTGGGGAATGATGAGCTAGTAAACATGTACGAGAAGCGGCTCGGTGATGCAAATTATACGCTGTTCAAGCTAGCCCGCACAAATAACCGCGGAGATGGTGAGCTCTCTCTCTCTCTCTCTCGCCCATTTCAGGTAGTATTATGACAAAGTATCTTGTGGTATGGATTAAGTAAGTTGACGTGTGTTGTTCCTTTTAGCCACCACCGTCTATTTTGCCTGCTCCATCCAAATGGTTGTTTGTTCTGAGATTGCTATAAATATTACTTGTAAGCTGTTATGTTCAATGCCTTCGATACTGATACATGCAATATCTGTCAGTAGCCATGATTGGCTGTTTTGTTCTGGAATTTATCGGAGAAAGCACATTCAATTTCTTAACTATAGCGTTGTTACAGAATGCTACTGGGATCAGTCTGCAAATTTTCACTCAAATTGTATATTCCCCACCCAGGTCTTCTAACTGCTGTACATAGGAATTACTTCTGTGTCTTGAACCACCGGGAGCTTCTTTTCAATGATTTTGGAGATCGAGTTGCTCAGCTATTGCATGTTGAGTCAGCCATACCTTTCTTGCAAAATCGGAGCAGCAGCTATGTCCAGCAGCAGAGCCTCATCGTGAACACTCATTTGGTGTTTCCCCACGATCACAGCCTTTCAATAGTTCGACTGAAGCAGGTATGATTAGTATGTTGTACACTTAATCATTCAGCCTGCCAATATTTCAGCATGGTATGTAACAATTGACTGCCGTGTCCATGGTAGGTATATAAGATCCTTCAGTACATAGAAGCTTACCAGGAAGAGCATAAACTTGGTCCAATGCCTATCATCTTATGTGGGTGAGTATGCAGTAAACATGCTATTTTTTACGTTCTTCTATGAATATCAGAGTGAAATATTAACATATGATCAGGGCATTCATATTATAGTGATTGGAATGGAAGTAAGCGCGGCCAAGTTTACAAATTTCTTCGTTCACAAGGATTTGTTTCATCATATGACACTGCTCATCAGTACAGTGACAGCGAAGAAGATGCACACAAGGTAACAGGACAATTCTGTTTTACTACTAATGCTTGATAGCCCAGCAACGCTTAATATGTATGTATGGTTGCATTGTATTCTAATTTTCTCCTCCTTTACCTCTTCTTGAGTATAGTGGGTGAGTCATCGGAATCATAGAGGGAACATCTGTGGAGTTGATTTTATATGGCTTCTGAATCCAGACAAGTGCAGGAAGCCCCTGAAAACTAGCTGGAATGAAGCTGTCTTTGGTATTATCAAGGTAAGCAAACATGATCAACACTGTGTCATTAATTAAAAAAAGGCATACTATAGCTAAAATAGTATTACGTTCGTTGTCTCTTAACTCTGAAAGTCTAAACTGTTCTCTTTTCAGTATCTTCTTCTCCAAGTTGCATCCCTTCCGGAGGAGAATGCATTTGCACTTCTCAAAGCTGACAGTTCAGATGATCGTATCACATATTCAAGCTTCTGCCAGGCACTTTGTCAGGTATTAAGGACACTATGTGTGTGCTATGTAGAAAACACTTACTCCCTCCGTCCCACTATGTAAGACGTTTTTTGACACTACAGTAGTGTAAAAAATGTCTTACATTATAGGACAGAGGGAGTACTTTAGAAAATACTTTTTCTAATGCTACAATAAATGCAGTTAGGAATGGTCCACCCCGATCGTGTAAATTCTGAAGAAATGGAAGATCTATGGAGTGAAGTTGACCACGATGGGAATGGTGCTGTTGACTACAAAGAATTTCAGGTAATTACTTGTGTGTGTCTTTTCTTTTTGGGTGGGTGGTGGTGCGGGTTGGGGGGATTCATGTCACATGGAAAGATATCTTGGTTTCAAAATTTGAATATGTAGAATAAAATGCTAATGCAAGATTATAGACGACACACCGAGGCATGCTATTTGTTAACAAGATTCACGCTACATCCCGGGGGCAATGACTACGGGCGCTCCTCCCCAAGATACCGCAACACCGGCCGCCTGTTCGCACATGAACACGTCACCGTGTACCTCCAATACCGAGGGTGATGCACCGCAGCTCACATCGAAGGAGACCCGTCCGGAAGCACGGTATGCAAGCAATCCGGTGGGTGCTTTTGAGGACCCGAAACCCCATGCGCCCGGGAGGGACCCCGTCTGGACGCGCGGCGGCTATGGGCTGCCCTAGGTTGATTTGCTCGCCCTAGAGCCTCGAGGATCGCTGCCCTTCAACATGAAGAACGAACGGAGAACGGGAGAAAGAACAAGGGAGAGATGTAAAAATTAGGGTAAAAAGTAGTATATTGATATGTCGATTGTGTGTTGTTCAATCGGCCGTCACCTCCCATCTATTTATGAGGCGGCTGGACTTCCCGTACAAGAAAAAGACTAAAAAGTCTGTCCAAAATGTCAAAAACCCTAACCTAACTTGGACTTTGGCAATTTTCCAGATCAACTCGGAGCCACTGAGTGGTTCGTTTCGGTCCCACCGAGTGAACGTTGCCAACCTTCTGTAATTTTCCGGATCAACTCGGTCTCACTGATTGGTTTGCTTCGGTCCCACCGAGTGAACGTTGCCAACCTCCTCTAATTTTCCAGATCAACTCGGTCTCACCGAGTCAAATCAACTCGGTCGGTCCGAAATGACTCTGCAGCTTCTGTTTCTGACATTGTTTTGCCTCCATAGGTTGCATACAACCTCAAATTAAGGCGATTTTTATATCAAAATCAACCGTTTCGATGAGACGCACAACTTTTGCGTTGAAACATTTTCCATCAGAGGCCATCTTAATCGAGTTTCTGGCCATTATATAATCTGATGTCCACAAGATCATCTCTGCAATTGTCACAACTTTTGCATCCGAGCTCCGTTTCGGACCATCTTCGTATCCATCTTGATCTCCTTGAAGAGAGCTATCCGAAGGTGACTTTCAATCATAAGTTTGAATTTAGTCTTGATATAGCCTAAGCTACTTTTATGACTGTGCCACTTTTGAGCGTCAACACATGCCCCCCTGTTTTTTGGCAAAGCTAGCGTGCCGAAAAATAACCTATATTGTGTTTTTTCTAAGGACGATGTCAACACTCCATCGGCCATTTATATGTGCTTAGGGCGATAAATCTATATTGGCCATGTTCATGCTTAGGGCGATAATTCTATATCGGCCATTGATTTTAACTTCTTGTTTACATGATACCTTGGAGCCGATTACCACCAATCAGCTTTAAAGAGATGGGAATGAACCCGTTCCTTGTGGCACTAAGGAAATCAAATTCCGAGAGGTCACGCCCTGTTAAGCAAGTAACATCGGGATGATTCCAATCCATCGATGCATCGGCCAAAGCAACACAAGCCGAATTATCCGTGTGAATGATTTCTACCTCACTGTTGACCCATTGTATTAAGAATTGATGCATGGTAGATGGCACACATTGGTTAGCATGAACCCAGTTGCGGCCTAATATAACATTATAGTTACCTTGCACCTCGGCGATGAAGAATGTAGTGGCCAAAGTTTTGCTTCCCACATTGAGTTCCATGCACATCACACCTTTGGCCTCTGTCTTTTCTTTACCCTCAATTCCGTTAAGTACCATATTGGTCTTCACCAATGCATTATTATCTAACCCCAACTTTTTGAAGACCGAATAGGGCATAAGATTTACCACAACACCACCATTAACGAGCATCCTAGCAACCGACGATCCATTAATATGACCTTTGAGGTACAATAGCTTCAAGTGTTTCACCGGTTCTTTTGGCTTCTCGAAGATAGCGTTCTTAGGACCAAAATCCAGCTGGGCCACCTCTCCTTCACCTATAGCACCCAACTCGGTAGGTAAGTAATACACCATATTAATATCCATACCTTCCCGAACCGGCGTAGATTCGTAATACACCATCTCATCTTCATCTCCCAATGTGTATATTGGACTTGAAGTTGTTTATATTGAGCATGGCCCTTGGCCTTTTGTATTCTACCCTCTTGGCATTCTCTTGTACATGTATATATGATGGCTTTGGCCTCCTAATAATATCAAGTTGCATATTTCCCTAACATGGTATTAGAGCTTTAGGTTTTTTCCGCACGCGCAACTCGTGCTTCCTCCGATCCCATCTTGCGTCCACAGGTACTCTTGGCCGTCGCTGTCTTCTTCCCTGCCGGCAACCACTCCTCCTTCCCCGTGGCTGTCTGCTGGTGCACCAACCTGCTCAATCCAGCCCCAACACCACCACATCACACCACCACTTCTCACGCTACCACATCTAGCCACTTCTCTTCACCACGCCACAACCAGATCGAAGGGAGAGAAGAAAAGATCAAGGGTCAAGGGAAGATCGGGAGTACCAGGGAGATCGCAGGTATCTGATTCCCCGCGCAAACAGCATCTCATCTGGCTCACCCCACCCAGGGCGCCGGCCCTTCCTCCCTGCCAGGCCGCCCCCGAGAAGGCCCTCCGCCGTCGCCGGTGATCAGGCCGCCGCCCGCTGCCTATCCGGCGCTGCTCCTCCGGCCGCCGCCGGCTTCGCTCCATCTCGCCCATCGGACCCGCCCGTTTTTCGCGTGCTGGTTCTTCAGTGCCGCCGGCGACCCCTGCAGGCTTCGCATCTGCCTCTTCCGCCCGTCCGTCCATGAACACCAGTCAACCGCCGCCTCCATTCGTGTCGAGGCCGCTTCGTGTGTTATGCTGTGCGTGGCAACTCGGGACACGTTTCGAGCCTTTGCTGCTGTTGACACTTTGGCCCTGTTTTGGGCGTGGTCTATTGGATTGGAGTTTTGAGTAAAAAAAAGAGAGAAAAAAAAGTAAAAAAAAAAACTGGTAAAATGCTTTTGTCGGGTACACCTCTTCATCGCCGCTCGATGTTTTTTGACGGTGTTCCATACATTGATGCTGTCTCGCACATGCGCCTTCTCTCGGTGCTTGGTGCTCGCCCGTTTGAAGATGGTGGTTGTCGCTCTACTTCGACACATTTTGCGACTTCCGTCGGTGTTGTTGGCCGCTCTACATCGACTCCTCCCGCGGCTTCCGCGCACGGCGGGGATCGCTCTATGTCGACTCACCAAGTGGTTTCCACGTATGGCTCTACGTCGACTCGCCACTCTCGGTCGACTCTACATGCGGCTTCTATGGGTGGTGGAGACCGCTTATTATCGGCAGGTGTTTCTACCTCGACCTCTTCCGTCGTGTCCTTGTCTTCGTGTGAGATTGCGCAGCTGAAATCTCTGCTTGCTACTTGGGATTCTTCACCGACAAGTTCTGCATGTTCTGTGGATGACTCTTCTGGCATTGAGAAACCACCTTCTACTCATTCAGGTACATCCCCATGGATTCTTGATACTGGAGCATCTTTTCATATGACATATGATACTTCCACTTTGACTTCCGTTCAACCTGTTGAGTCTCCTGTTCGCGTTCTTACGGCTGATGGCACTCCCCTCCAAGTAGCTAGTCGAGGCACTCTTACCATTTCTTCATTTCATGTTCCCTCTGTCGCTCATGTTCCTCGACTTACCATGCAACTCATATCTGGTGGTCAGATTGTTGACTCTAGTTGTAGGGTTATCCTCGACTTTGATTCGTGTTCTGTCCAGGATCGTCGCACGGGCGCTCTACTTGGTGCTGGCCCTCGACGCTCTGATGGTCTCTGGGAGCTTGACTGGCTACGTCTTCCTTCCGCTGCCACCGCTGCCAGTCCCATAGCCCCTGTCGCTGCATCTACTAGCTCTTTTCAGCAGTGGCATCATCGTCTTGGACATTTATGTGGTTCTCGTCTCTCATCTTTGGTTCAGCGCGGTGTTCTGGGGTCTGTGTCCGGCAACGCTTCGTTGGATTGTATGGGTTGTAGGCTTGGTAAGCAGATTCAACTACCGTATCCTCATAGTGAGTCGATGTCCGAGCGCCCTTTTGACCTTGTTCACTCTGATGTTTGGGGTCCGGCTCCCTTTGCTTCAAAAGGGGGTCACCGCTACTATATTATCTTTATAGACGATTTTTCACGGTACACCTGGATCTATTTCATGTCTTCTCGTAGTGAGGTCTTATCTATATACAAAAAATTTGCTGCCATGGTTCAAACCCAGTTTTCCACTCCTATTCGTGTTTTTCGCGCAGATTCAGCTGGTGAGTATATCTCCCATGCACTGCGAGGATTCCTTGCTGAGCAAGGTACCCTTCCTCAGTTCTCTTGCCCTGGTGCTCATGCTCAGAATGGTGTGGCTGAGCGCAAGCATCGTCACCTTCTTGAGACGGCACGCGCGATGATGATCGCTGCCTCTCTTCCTCCTCACTTCTGGGCTGAGGCTGTTACCACTTCCAGGTATCTCATTAACATTCAGCCATCTGCTGCTTTACAGGGCGGAATTCCTCTCGAGCACCTTTCTGGTCGTTCTCCTGATTATTCGGTGCTTCGCTTGTTTGGTTGCGTTTGCTATGTTTTGCTTGCCCCTCGTGAACGCACCAAACTGACTGCTCAGTCTGTTGAGTGTGTCTTTCTCGGATACAGTGATGAGCATAAGGGCTATCGATGTTGGGATCCCATCGGTCGTCGGATGCGTATTTCTCGGGATGTGACCTTTGATGAGTCTCGTCCCTTCTACCCGCGTCCATCCTCCTCGGCCTTTTCCACAGAGGATATCTCTTTTCTTACGTTTCCGGATACACCTCCATCTGTGCCCAGTATTCCTACTCTTCGTCCCGCTGTTGCAGATTCGATGCCGTCCTCTCCTACGGTTTCTTCTCCTCCCTCATCACATGACTCGCCACCTTCA